ACACACACACACCATGGGTCGTCACAGTGGTCTTTTTGCATGTATGCAAATTCTGCCAGTGGGCCGTCCGGCCATGTACCACCCCAGGGCCATGGTACTAACTTTCACGCACGTCTCAGCCTCGCGTACGAGCGAAAGTTTTGGCGGGAAAACTGCTAATTCGGTAGCCCGAATAACTGAGAGGCTGAAATTTTAAAGGGATGCTCCTCATCGGCATGTAACTTAAAGATTTAAAATTCAGACCTCAAGTATACGCAGTACTCACGTAAACATAAACGTACATAAACTAAATCATACGAGCAACAACCGTCAACATAGTTAACGACCAAACTGTTCAAGTTTAATGCAAAAACGCCTGATCATTCCAGCTTTGGACTGCACTTGCACACATGCAAAACACGTAAAAATGCATGTGGTGTCTTGATGCAATAAGTGGCATGAGCAGTTTTTATTAACTTATGTATGTGTTTACGTGTGTGTGTGTGCGTATATGTGTGTCTGTCTGTGCGTGTATGTGTAGGGAGCCAGTTAAATCAAGCGGCGGAATTAACAGTGAACAACAGTACACCGCCGAGACCGGTTTCAGCACTCTGGCAGTGCGCAGGTGGAGCAGCCTAATGCTGCTGCTGTTGTAATATGAGGAGGAGGAAGCATCAGTCCGTGAGCCGCCCCCGCGTAGGCCTCTTCTCGAACGCCGACGGCACTGCACACATTCCCAGCAATTGCTCCAGGAGACGGAGCAGTCCGACTTCCCAGTTCTTGCTGCCCTTATGCTGCTACTGCTACTGCTGCACGGAACGCGAAGAGCAATATCAGTGGTGTGTATATGTTCGGATGTGTAATGTATGTGTGTGTGTGTTTGCAGGCTTGTGTGTGGGTCTGTGTCACGGTCAGTTTTACAACGGCAGCGTACAGTTAAAGGTAGATGTTTGAACTGACGGAGCGACAGACAAACGCAGAGACAACCAATCGACCAAGCAAATTCACCTTCACACCCTCACCGCTCATGCGTCCTGGTCCGCCTCTTGTTCCCGAGATTCCTCTCGTAGACTAGAATCGGGGACAACTGCGAGCACTCGGCTGATCGACTTTCGATGACAGCGGTGGCACTGAGGAGGATGTTTTTTCTTTTTTTTTGTTCTTTGTAGGACGTTGCTTTTATCCACTTTTATCAGCGGCTTTTTAAGAACGACGAAGACGACCGAACGACGCATCACAGCTATCACTAAATCATCAGCATTATTTCTGTAAGCCCCAGCTGTTATTATTATTATTATTATCGCCAATATCACTGTCATTATCATTTCGTTTTCTGGATCTGCGAACGGACGATTTCTGAGGAACATACAGCCTCGTTGACTAGTGTTAAATCCGTATCACTGCTACCATTTGTGCAGTCGCCGCTTTCTCTATTTAAACTTCACGATTAGCCATCAGTTGATCCTTCCGAATCTGCCTGCTGCTGAAGATTTCAGTTTTTTGGATATTTCCCTTACAATGAACACAACAACCTATCCATGCGAAGCAGCACCATTCTCGAGCGATTGGTTCAATGCCAAACATATGAGTCAGCAGCAGCAGCAGCAGGAACAACTCTCTGTTGGTAAGCTTCTGCTCGCCACTTAGTGATCAGCTGGAGAGGAGGCTCGGCAAGCGTGGGAGAAGCAGAAGAGGCCGAGAGCAAAGAAAGTGGCGGCTAATTTAGCTGAAAACATCCCACAGTGACTGATCGTAATTGCTACAGTACAATTCATATGGTTTATTTTAGTCTCAGGGGGTGGCAGTGAGCGTTGCTGAAACGCCAGCTCACTCCTACTGATATAACAGTAGCAATGGAACCCATAAGAAGGAAAAATGAATTCATTAGGGGGGCCATAAACTAACTGCTAGAACTGCTACTTGCCATAAAAGCGATATGAACGACTGATCGAGCTCGCTACACTGCCCATTCGAAGCGTCGATGTGCAACGGATGCGATGGTGAGTGGCATAAATGATAACAAATATGAAGTCGAGAACACTGCTTCTCAGATTTTTCATTTTTTACGCTTTTGTGCTGCAACAGCTGTACAAAACGCATACTGTTGAGACCATGTGTGTGTTTATGTGTGTGTGTGTATGCGTGTGTGTGTGTGTGTATGTTTGCATGCTTGTTCCGGGAATTTCAACTCG